AGAAGAAGAAGAAGATTAAGAGGTGAGAATCCTGCTGCGAACGTGGGCTTTTGGCGCGCCAGTGAGTGGTTCGCTGGCTGTTCCGTTCCCTGCTTACGGCGGGCAGCGATCCATGCTAGCCCGCATTTACTTTGCTAGCTGGCATTTGATAGCAACATCGAGCTGAAGCTCCATTGATAGCATGTGTAGGAGTCGATTGACAGCTAAGATACTTGGGACGAGCCTGGCCCCGTGTAGCCGTTGTCAGGCAGGTAGAGATGCCGCACAGCGCCCCGTCTCGTCAACACGACCATGCGGATGACGCCCCCCGAGCTGCCGTCCCATTTGATCGCCTCCCGCAGCGAGTTCTTGACGAATTCCACTCCCTCCGCCTCGTCCATGTTCTCCCGCCAGTTCGCGTCGCAGTAGCCGTAGATGTACGTCGAGCCCGAGCCCCCGATGGCATACGGCTGCTTGTGCAGCGAGCCGCCCAGAGGGATGCTATACACCTGTCCGCCGTGCCGTTCGTCGTAGCCTGCGATTATTATGCCGGCACTGACCAGTTAACTTGGCTTTCTTGATACTGGAATGAAAAAAAGTGGCATACCTGAGAGCATCCTTATTGTCGTAGCAGAGCTCCTGGAAGAGAGCAGCGGCCGTCTGCGTGGTTGGCTGCCGTCCATAGACCACCCCGTACATGCCCAGATGGTACTTGACGATGTCTGCCACCGCCTGCGTGTCCGCCGCCGAGCCAGAGCGGCAGCACCAGATCGTGTCGTGCACCTGCGTCAGCTTGTCCGTCACCCGGTTGGCAATATACGCGCCCGTCGTCGTGCGTGAGTCCGCGCCCAGGATCACCCCATCCTTGAAGTTGATGGCCATTCTGCCTCATTAGTCCCGTGGTTTTGTATATATATATCCCAATGTATATATATAGGTGTATCGGTGCTTACATCGATGTACCCAGACTGACCGGTCAGCTTGATTCACTTCCAAAGGGATATCTCGACTTACTTGACTTCTCCCTTCTTGAGATGCTCCATGTCGACGTGTATGCCATCTGCTCGCCGTCAGTCTCGCCGTCTCCAAGCTCGCCGGAGCTCTACTCCCTCTCTCCCGCTAGACTCACCTTCACCCAGACACCCAGTTACCCCGGGAGCCATCTCCAAAAGAACAAACAGAGCAACTTGACAAGACAGACAGGCAAGAACAGCAGCAAGCAAGCAGAAGAACTCGTCTATCACTCCTGGAAGAGACGCTGGATAGCCGGCGGTTGTTGAAAGTTGCAGAAATGCTCGTCGACTTTCATGCTGGAGCTTCGAAGGCAGCCAAAGCGACGCGGCCGGATCTTTGTTTTTCCGCGACTCCGGGATGGACGACAGGGATAGACGAGATATCAGATATAAGATATAAGATATAAGATAGAATGGAAGAAGATGTATTAAGCACTGATTATTGCAGATTAATATTAGACTAGCTGATGTACAGGATGACAAAACGAAAGAAGAAGAAGAAAAGAAGAAGAGAAGATCAGGTCACCGTCCTGCCTCCCTGACAAGCTGCATAAAGGCGTCGGTCCCCTGAGTCCCCAGAGACCAGTACAGCTTGCTCTCCGCCGCCGCCTCGCTGCTCGTATCTGACGCCGACCGGCTCCGGCCTCTTCTCATCAGCCGCTTCGAGCCCCAGCCCAGCACGTCGACGGCACCTCGCTGGCCCTCCTCGCCCGGCACCAGGCCCAGCAGCTGCGTCTCCAGGCACCCCAGCACCGCCACGCCGGCCCGGAACAGGATGCGGTCGCCTTCAAACACCCAGCAGTCCCAGATGCGCGAGACGTGGTCGACATCCAGCCCGTTCGTGAACAGCGAGCGGAACATGGGCTCCCAGATCTGCGAGTCGGACAGACACAGGTTCTCGCATAGATGCGTCGACAGGCGAGGGAACTTGAGACGCAGCGTTGCAGAGGCCAGACTGTATGCTCGGGCGGTGGCTCCGGGGTCAGACGTCAGGAAGGCCAGGGCTACGGGGCGGTTGAGGGCGTTGGCCAGAGTCAGGAAGGCGGCGGAGGCCGTGTGGAGTTGCAGTAGTAGAACAGCAGCGATGGTCTAGCAACTGTTAGTACATGAACACACATCATTAACACGGTGAGGTAAAGAAACATACGTGAAGGCCGTGGATGTAGCCTACGTCGCTGCGGTACATGGCATACGCATCCAGCACCTGCACCAGACTATCATGCAGCGGTCCACCTTCTGCAAACACGTTCAGCGCAGGAAAGGCACTGGCTGCGTCTTTGCGAATGGCTGCAAACCGCTCATGCGCCCACTTGTACCCGTCACCCGTCTTGCTTCTGAGCTGCTCGGCCCGCTCAAGCGCCTTGACAAACGACTCCTCCGTCAGGGCCAGCTCGTTGCCAATGGCTCGCTGCCACACCGCCCCGCGAGACCGAGGCGTGATACCGCGCCACCATAGCTCTCGTGTTCGGGGTTCGGCAATCACCCTGTCCCAGTCCGGGAACACATAGTCGTCCCAGATGCGCTGCAGCATCTTGCGAGTGTCGTCTCTCTTGCATTGCGCCGAAGCTTCTTCCGCCGCCCGCCGTTTGTCTATCCACGGTTAGTTTCCTTCTTCCCAGACACACATTGCAAAGTTTATGTATACGAACCGGCTTCTCTGGATAAAGCCATCATCCGCTTATACTCCTTGAGATGCTTCTTTTCTTCCTTCTGGTCCTTCGGAGGCAGCCAGCTGGGCCGTGTCCGAGACAGAACCTTCTCCTTCTCCTTGCTTATCGGCAGCGGATCAATCATGATATTCGGCCTCTGCAGCGGCGGAAGCTCAATCATCCCGCCTGAAGCTCGTTTCCCACTTGGTACTGGCCTCGGCTTCAGCCCGGCCTGCACTCTGGCCTCGTGGTCCCGCGCAGCTTCATCAGCATGAAACTCCAATGCTTCGGTGATGATCCTGGCTTCCTCCGAGAGCTCCGACATGACTACATTCCAGGTGTTGGCTTTGGGACCCCGACGGTCTGGCGAGGGAGCTGGACTGGCGATGCCTCGGGACACTCGCGGGCTGGGGCCCATGGACCGTGACCGGCCCCGCCTGTGTTTTGGTCTGTATTTTGGCGTAGCGCTGCCAGGAGGCGGGGAGGTCGATCGAGAAGAAGGAAGCTGTGGCGCGGAATCATGTAAGGGAATTGGTCTCGGACCTGGACTGCGGCTCTGCGAGCGACTGCTGTCCCGGCCTCTCGGACGCTCGTCCTGCGGGCGTGGAGATATGGGGACATTCCATAGTGTGGCGTCCTCGGGGAGATCCTCATCCGAGTCATGATACTCTTCCTCTAGCTCCTTGACCGACTTACGACTCGGCTGTCGCGACGGAGGTCGAGAAATAGAAGCAGTGGAAGGGCCGGACACGCCAGAGTCACCACGGGCAAACGGAGGAGGGGGGCGGCTCCTCGACCGACTCCTGCCACTACCGCTAGGTGAAGGGGAGCGGGACTGTTGTTGTTGCTGCTGCTGCTGCTGCTGCTTTTGTCTGCTTCTAGATGGAGCGAGGAGTAGAGAAGGGTCAGACGTGCTGCTCAGCGCTCGTCTGCCCGACGGTGGCTGTATAGATAGTGCTTGCATAGATTGGTTCATGCCATTGACGTGGGGAGTGGACTGCGCGAATCCGCGGCGGCCGTAGGTGCCATTGTTATTATTATTGTGGGTGGTAGCAGCGTGATGACTGCCATGAGGACCGCCCACGCCACTGCTCTGCCTGCTAGCAGGGCCGGTCAGGTCTCTCATGGTCATGACTGCGGTGTTGCTCTTGGTGCGGGCCACCGCCTCTGGGTTCTTGCTGTGCAGGCTCTTCGGGTGGTGCTGCTTGTGCCTGAGGCTCTGTTTCTTGCCCGGCACGCTCGTCGACCGCACGGGATACGGTCCCTGGTCGAAGTGGCGGTGGTCTAGGGCATCACTGCCGAACTGCGCAACCAGGTCATCTTCCAGCGCGATGTCCTCGAAGTTGGAGATGTCCGCAAACACGCCATCGGGGTTGGACTGGTGCGAGGACGTGTGGAAGGAGGACGACTTTGACGATTTCGACCCCGACAGATCGGGGGGCGAGTCCGGTACAGCGGCAGATATCGTACTCATCGCATTCCAGCGTATTCCTTGTTCCCTTCGACTTTCTATCTTGTGTCTATCTGCAGGTCTGCCTGGCGGGCGTCTATCCGGGTCCGTCTATATGCCGCCGTACCACAGGCGGGATCGGTCGTAAACAGGAGAAAAGCGAGTATAATAATGAACGGCAGAGTCGTCCGCGAGCTGTCGGCCCTTAACGCAGAGAAAGGAGATGCCCCAGGCTGAACCAGAGCTGAAGGGCCAGGAAAATACGGACGATCTCGCAGGGGGGGAAAGAGACGAGAAGTTGGCTAGATCTAACTTTCCCCTTGGATCCTGCGGTGGAGATGCAGCAGGATGAGCAGGCGGCCTGGCTGCGGCGAGAGAAACGACTGACAACAGCACAAAGAGACAAACGAGAGACAACGAGCGTCGTAAACGTACAAAAGAGACCTAGAGAGGCGCAAAAGTCGCGATGTCGAGGTTGAAGTCGAAGTCGAAGTCGAAAAATCCCAGAAAAAGTCGAGGAGGATGAGATTCTCACGTGACTTTCCCCATCTGACGAGTGTGGCTGATGTAGTCACGTGATGAGTTAAATAGGACTAGCGTTAGGGCAAGCCACCGCCACAGACGGAAAGCGGTGAGTCGCGTTGCTTTTTTTCTGCCAAACGCAATTTCAAGTCTTGGCGTTTTTTCAGGGGTAAAAAAGGCTATTTTTAGACATTAACAATATAAAAAAAAGGCGACGTCGATGTGATATTGAGAAGATATTGATAAAAGATATTGGTGATGGAGGTGGTGATAGGCAGAGTAGGGGTAAGTAGAAGTCCTAGTGGAGAAAGTATGCTGGGTGGGGCTACAGCGAGGGTTATGGGCCTGCGACTGCCCGACGGAGCCTGAAGTACTCGCGGTCCGTGGACGGCCTGCAGGCTCGCAGAAGCGCATCCAGCCAGCGCAGAACAGGCGCATAGTAGCTCTGGCGGCGGGCCAGCACACGGTGGAAGGCTGTGGCTCCCAGCCAGCGCACCTGGCGCGGTGTGACGCTGCACTCGAAGCCGGCCGGAGCCCCTGAAGCCGCGGGCGCAGTCCGGACTCGGCAGGCCCCATACTCCAGCACCGCGGTGATGGTCGAGATGAGCAGGCCTGACGAGCAGGATCGAGCAGGCGAATACCGCTGCATGACCTGGTAGTACACGCGGGTCTTCAGGGCACACTCGGCAAAGCAGCGGAAAAGGCTGGCCAGCACCACGGCAGAGGACGAGTGTTTCGTGTCGAGAAACATCGTCTGAGCCTGCAGCTGAAAGGCCTTGAGGGCCTTGCGGGTGAACTCCTGGCCGGGCGGGCGTGTCAAGTTGACCGTCAGCGAGTCGTGGGTGCTCACGGCGACGTTCTTCCCTTTGGTCCTATCAGCGCGACTGCCAGCGCCAGCTCCAGCGCCAGCGTCGATGATGATACCTGTGGCCGATCGATCTCTTGTGAGAGCCAGAGATTTCACGTCGATCAGGGCGCCGCAGAACAGGAACTGGCGTCCCTCGAGACGGGGGATATGCCTGCCCGCGATGTTGAGGTCGAAATTAACCAGCGTCTTCTCCGGGGCAACGGATATGCCAAACTCCTCATCCCCGTCCAGCATTACTTGCAGGAACCGCTCGGCAAGCCTCCTGTCGGTGCTGATAAGCAGGTAATCGTCGACATACCGCATCAGCAAGGTTGGGGCGGAAGCCTGGGGCTCGCGCAGAAAACCCAGCCGCTCTTCTTCATGCTGGCCATAGAAGAAGTTGCACAGTAGATTGGAGACCACGGATCCTTGCGGAATCCCCCTTTTCTGGCGGTAGTATTTCTTCCCGATCTTGACCAGGTTGTTGCGGATATGCTTCTCAAGTAGGGCTAGCAAGTCGTCCCGCGTATGGGTCCGGTGCCAGCCATTGTCAACATACACTGCTGGTGCACCGCCACACCTGCCCTTGCGGTTGGAGCTGCTGCTGCTGCTGCTGCTGTTACTGCACTGGCCAGGCGTTGTTGAGGATGAGGATGAAACTGCGTCGAATACGGGCTGGAAATCGTCAGAGGCTGCTGCTCGCCATACGAACCTCCTCGTTGGTTTGTTCCTGTTGGACTCCCGGGCTTGCTGTTTCACTTGTTCCCGCGACGGCCCGCTTGTAATAGTGTTAGGATGAAACTCTGCGTGCTTAGAGAGACGGTACGAATCGTCAACCACCAGCGTGTCGACTAGTTGCATCAGCCTTGCCTGAGGGATTGTGTCGAAGCAGGCCTGGACATCCAATTTAACAAAGTACAGCGGGCCGTTAGCTCGTGTTGGAGATGCCTTAATTTGCTCCTTGAACCTTTTTAGCCGGGGATACATTGCGGCCGTTGACGGGAGGCCTGATCCTACGGATTCCGGGCACTGGTCTCGTTCGTAGCAGAGGACCTGAAAAAGGGGGTCGAGCTGGGAGTTTATGCTTGATCCAAGGAATGACTGTCCAGACCGTCCATTATTCTTGAGCACCGGCCGTCTCCGGAGGTTAGCTATGGGCCTGGCGCCCTGGAACTTGGGCAGGAGTCTAATATGGCAGTAACCCAGGGATTCGCCGTTGAGCAGCCGTTCCGCTTTACTGTGTTTGATATCCTGGAAGAGCGTGGACTTGAGGTCCGCCATGACGGGCTCGGACAGGCGTTTCCATACATCATGCCGAAAGTAGAACAGTCTGTGCTTATAGGTGCTCGACTCGGTCAGGTAGAAATTTGATCTGACCAAGGGGATGAGCAGGGAGTCAAACAGGTAATATATGAGCTCGAGAAATATCTCTGTCCTCTTTCGATAATCTGACAGAGCTAGTTTATGGTTGGTGTGGTTGTGGTTGTAGTTGTGATTATGGTTATGGTTTCCTGGCTGTCCCTGTTCTGTGCAACCCCCCTGTTGACACGGAGGAGAGAGCCAGGCGACACATCCGATCCTGAGCCCCTGAACGACCTCGTGGAGAGACATGGTTTCGAAGCGGCGCAGAGAGAGGAACCGGTCGACGTTGCGCATGACAATGGCTCTGTTGTGGAGGCCATCTTCGCCGCATCCGTACAGCTCATGTGGTATCACTTTCTGCAGGACTGCACGACAGAAGGCTGAGACCGCATGTGTTGGAGTTGCATAGTCTGTCATGCTAACTTTTTCGTTTCCATTATTTATTGTTTTCTACGTTGTTGTTAATTTAGGCCCTAAATAGAAGAATAAAAGGGGTATACCTTTGGACAATAATGCCGGAGTAGCTCTACATAGGAACATCGAGCATGTCTCTTTTGCATACGCTGGATCAACTCAACCAGTCTACCTCGCAGCCGTCGGGGAATCTTATCTCCCGGCTTCAGGGCAATCTCCTGTTCTCTCAGCGAGTAGTCCTTGAACGGCATGGACGTCTCCGTCCTGGTGACGGTCGAGGTGAAGACGTTGTGAAGACCAAACTGGCGAGGAAAGATGTGCTTCATAACATGTACTGTATGGCTGATGCTGGTCTCCGGGTATCTATTCAGCACATCTGTAGCTACCTGTCAGTATGTCTGCTGGTCTGTTGATGAGCAAAGACGTACGGATGTGCTGCAGTCCCATCTTGGGCTCCCCCTTTGCATTCAACGCCGGACGAGAATAGAACATCCTTCGACGCACAAAGACAATTTCATTGGGCTTTCTAGGCTCGTCTTTCTTCTTCAGGGCATCCAGCGTCTCCATACTAGACAGCGTTGTTCCTGTTGCTGTTAGTATAAATATATCAAACGTGTATATATTATGATCAAACTCACCGCTGAGCTGGTAGTAAGACTGGCCCTGAAGACGGATGAACAACCCGCAGTCCAGCAGTAGATGAAGCATGATATCCTCGCTGTTGTCGCCCAGCATGTCCATGACATCTGTCCAGGGAGCACTCTTAAGCATCGAGACGCTCCTGTTCGGCAGCTTGGGGACAATGCCCGGTATGCCTGCCGCAACGCCGCACTCCCGGTGTGCAGCCATGGGCTCTGCAGCACGCTGGTAGCTATAGCTGAGAATATGCTGGGGCATCACCTGCGGTCCAGCCGGGTTGAACAAGCTGTATATCGCAAAGTTGACCACCTACTCTGGTCAGTACGTATACACATATAGGGGTATAAACATAGGGCATAAACATAGGGTATAGAGCCTCACGTCCGCGATGTCAGTAGAAGCACCCACGTCCGTCGCGTTGAAGTTCGAGGACATGGCCTGCGACTGAGTAAAAGCTGCCAGCTCTCTCTGCCTGGAGACGCTGACTGCTGGACTGGCGGGCTTCGAGATGCCTACGATGGTCGAGTCCAGCAGCTCTGCCAGTCTCCGTCTAGAATCATCACCATCACCATCACCATCACCATCACCAGCATCACAACCACCTGGAACTCCGTCTATCTTCAGCTTCTTCCTCTGTTTCGTCTTCGGCTGTGTCTGCTCCCTCCCGGCGAGCTCTATCCTGCGTCTTCTGGCTGTCGAGCAGGCCGGCAGCAGCTCCAGCAAATACGTCCTCAGGCTGAGCAGCCGCGGATAGTAAAACGCCAGCACGGCCTGCCTGATCTTTGCATCCTGAGACGCATCGCCGTCTCCATCGTCGTCCCCGTCTCCGTGTCCCTGGGATCTCTTCCTCTTGCCCATGGCTTGTCTGTGTTGCTGTTTGCTGCTGCTGGTAGCTGCAAGTAGCTGTACAAGACGCTGAGGTGGCAGCGCCGTGCAACGCAGCGAGTGACAGTGACCGTCCTACAGTCCTACAGTGCCTCGTATCTCCCCTCCCGCTCTTCTGTTTACTGTCTGTTACTGACTATCTACTATCTAGGCGTGTTTCTCTATGGATATGCCGCCCCTTTGCTCGAGATAAAGACGTCCAGGACGGCAGACAAAGGTCAGACAAGAAGGCGAAGTCACTTAATCTACGACGGTCTAGTAAGGTAATATAACCAGCATATGAACAAAGAAGAGGACGAGCAGGAGAAGCAGAAGAAAAGAAGCCGAAGATCCAGCGGGCCTCCTGAAATCAAACCCGAAACACTCGCGCTGCCGTCGACCAAACATGCTCGCTGGCTCTATCAAACATTCACAGCGCCTCGACCGCGAGACCGACCATAATCTCAACTGCTGGCAAAGGCCATCATCTAACTGATACTCTGGAAGAAGCAAAGAAGCAACGAAGAGGAGAGAAGAAGCAAAGAGGACGAAACCCCACAGTCCAGCAGGTTCTTCCGTATCTTTAACCGTAAAATGGAGATCCTCCAAGGCTAGATTTGAATTTATATCAAGACAGATATTATTTACAGAGAAGCAGTACGAGAAGAATAAGCAGAAGAATAAGACGAAGAAGAGAAGAAGAGAAGAAGTACGGAGTACAGGGGAGAGAGGAATGACTGCGAGATCATCCACGTCGACTTGCATGCTGCAGCTTCAACCTCCTGCATGTCCACAACATCTCGCAGCCAGAGACAGCCAGACAGCGAGACGGCAAGACAACCCGCCCAGCAACGAGACAGCGAGAGACAAAAGAGATGAGAAGATGAAGTGAGCCACGTCTTACAGGGTCTTACAGTCGGCTCCCTTGCTTTTTCCGCCTGCTTCTGCGCTCTGCTGCCCTCTGCGCGCCGTTCCCTCGCCCGC